TTCCAGCTACTTGCTTTGCAACTCCATCGCTCTGCATAGCTTAGAGCTTTAGACATGCGAGTTTAAATACCCATTGGGAATTTTCTGGTTCCACAGCTCTTCCAGCATTTCTGCAAAAGGGGCAAAGATGCACCTTTTTTTTTTTTTTTTTTAAACTTTGCCAAATATTGATACCTGTCAGATCAGATTTTAAAGATTTCAAGATAAAAATTAAAGATTTCAAATTCAGGGTCAGACTATTCTGTAACAGCCCCCAAAATGTCATCTGATCCCTTCAGTATGGGTTGCTATCAGAGACCAAATACACTGCATCTGATTCAGGATATTTATTCCTTTCTTCTTTGTGCAACTGAATAAAAGAAGTTGGAGCCTTTGTAGGAGCTCTTCAGAAGCCACAACACTCCAAAATACCTTTGTATTCTTTTCTTTCCAAACAAAAAGGAAATACCTTTTAAAAGATATATAAGGAAGATCTTTTAAATCTTTTTTTTTTTTTTAAATGCCTCATCTATCTCCTCTTGAAGCTGAAAAGTTTGGTTAAGAAATAAAGGTAGTTACAATTTCCATGACTCAAGAACAAAGACGTCAGATTTGTCCTAAAAGATCTTTCTCAAGATGTACTTAGTTTCTCTATAGCCACAATGTCATATCAAAGAAAGTCATTATTTTGACAGTATTTACGATGGTACCAATGCATGTGAAAATTCTATATATGCCCAAAACAGAAACTGTAAAAAAAAAAAAAAAGAGGGCTCTTTTCCTCCAGGTTTTCGAATATGTAATTGTCTCCAAGATTATGTCATAAAATTGTATCTCTTGCTAAAGTACAGATGTGTAAATGACCTGAAAACCCAGCTCTTTAAGTGGAGAATGGATGAAATTAAGGCTATGGAGTTACATAGCTATTGATGTAACAAAGTCTGTTGAACAAAAATGGGCTTAGCTAGAACAGAAATTAGGCAGAATTCAAATTTACAGCAAACAGGCACTGACCAGAAGACCAGCAAAGGAAATCACATATACTGCAAAGGATTTAAACCATGAGACTTCCCCCAGCCCATTCCCAAGCTAGCCTTAACATTGCTCGATTCATCCAGAAAAAAAGAAGTTTAATACAGTTCCCTAAACATGGGATTCCAACACGCTAAGATGCAACTGCACAGAAATACTAATTGTAAGGGCTATGTCCTGCTCTTAAGCTAAGTCTCTAGATACTTTAATATCCATTTTATAGGCATTAATTGTGGCAGTTTGCTCCTTGATTGTGCTTCAGCAACAACATGCTTCTGCATTTCTGGACTTGTCCAATGGAAAACAAATGTGTCCTTCTCCCAGGGAGGATGCTACCCAACCACCTAGATTTCTTTCTTGGATGGAAAAACATCCCCAGGAATCACGTTCCAAATGGCACAATAAGACAAAATAGACCAAATACAGAAGAGAGCCAACAGAGAAATAATGGCTCTGTCTGTTCATATTCCAGTGCTCTGACCGAAATCCTATCCTCCAAAGAGTTAAGCAAATTCCAGAGACGATCAGTGAGGGAAATCACTATGATTCATGAAGGGAGATAGAAAGAGGTGGAAAATAAGAGGATAGAGGGGAAAGCAGGCTCAGAGGAGGAAATGGCTACATATTCACACAAATAAACATTAATTTTATTTCCGTGTGCTCAAATTGTGTTGTGGAAAAACTGGGCTGATTAAAGCTACAACTAAATGCTGTCATTGCAATATGACAAGACTATTATTTCCAAGTGTACATAAAAAGGGACTGCTGAACGGCATATTAAAAGTGTGTGCACCTACCTAGTCAGCAAATAGGTCAGTGATCACCACTTACTCTGTCTTTTAATAAAGGGATTTGAGATTATTCCCTAATCTTATAAGAAACACAGATTTTCATTATTCTTTTGTGAAGTAGAATGAGTACATTATAGTAGCTAGAAAAAAAATTAAAAAGGCATCTTAGTTTGTCTTTCTTCAGTTGCTCCCTAGTAATATATAACTTCAAGTTATGGCTGGAAAAAAAGGGAATAAATTGGCACACACTATATTTTATTACTGATTTTGGAAAAAGCAACAGCAGGTTTTCATGAAACACACACAGTGCCTCACATTGTTAAATCCTTCAGGGTAATCTGGCTTCTTTCTTACTGCTGGCAATGGGAAACTGTAGTGAGATTGCCAGGACTTTGTTTCTTTGTTCCTCTGGGCTCTCAGCGCCCCAGAACTTTCAAAGCACCAGGATCCATAACTCCTTGGTAATACGTACTACAGTGTGACCCTGGAGCTGTGAAGCCAAATGAGCTATACAGAAAGGACCCTGCAAGGCCTAAAATCCCCCAAAACACACAGATGAGTTGGGACTAAAGCTTGCACAATTAGATCAGAAGCTTTACCTATGGTTTTTCAGAAATTTGCGAGACACATCTCAAAACCAGCAAGAAACAGTGATTTTTCCATGGAAAACCAGATCACTGAAAAAATTCCTATCACACTTCACAGCCATAATCAGTAACTAAGCAGAAATCTAGCTTTAGGTTGAGAAAAGGGACTTTGATCTTTGTTGGCCATTTAGTGGCTTCCCCAGCTCCAGTGCTGGGACAGGTCACAGATGACTCCCATTAATCTAATGGCTCCCGGAGAGAGAGAGAGAGAGCGCGAGAGCACGAGCGAGGAGAACAGCAGCTATGTGCTATCCTTCCCTCCAGGATGAGCTTGGTAACACAAAAAAATTATCCAACACAGAGCAGAAAGACCAGGTAGTTTGCAGTTTAGTTGCTACGTTTGGCTATGCATCTAGGTTTAGTACAGGTTAAAGCCACGTAAGATCTGTGTATTTCTCTTTAATGGGACTAGACAAAAACATGCCATTTCACTGTATTGCAAATGTACTGTGGATGCTGCTGGAAAACTATTTAACTGAATTAGTTTATGAGATACCACTTGGGTTACATGACATAATGTTATGTATTAAATCTCTGGTTTACACCAGGTAATCTCCCTCCATTGAGAGAAATCTCTCTCTGGGGAATACATCTTATTTTATCAGCCTGAACTTCAGCTGATTTTCTTCTTTTTACCTCTCTTTGTCTGGATCCACCTTGGTTTGTGGAGAACTTTCAAAACTCCCATGGCAGTGTATGTGCCCACCAGAACTGGAAGCATCTAGCAAGATGAGCGCTGAGGGTGCTCTACGTGTTCTTATACCCATAAGACTGAAATAAAGCAAGGGAAAGCCTTAATTTCCTTTCCTTCTCAAAACCCTGAGAAAGCACAGCCTCAATTGCCTTTTCTTCTCAAAACCCTGAAAAAGCACCCATTTATCTTCCCTGACCCAAAGACAGTATGTTTGGAAGAAGCTGAACAGAATATCTATGCAGTAACCTAAGTGCTGTTACCCTGCAGGTAGACTCAACACATCATCTCCTCTTGTCATGGAACGGACCAAAAGTTCACTTAAATCAATGAGAGTCCTTCTATGAACTTCAATGAGCTTTGGATTAGACGAATCGTGTACAGAAGCAATACCTGAGCCCCCGGGTAGGAACTCATTCCAAAACGTTTGGAAAGAACCTTTTACTTATTTAGTACTTGAATCTTTTAAATCTAAGGCAGGAAAAGAAAAAGTGCCAAGAACAACCATTTTCTGACATTACCTTCGTTTCCTTAATGTTACATATTTTAATAGTAGGTAGAACAGATGGTGAAATATAATCTCTCCACTGAGAACTAAATGACAGCGACTAGCTGTAGGGGACACTAAAGTATTAAAGAGAAGGAAATGTACAAATAATGAAAGTACATTTTGTTCAACTTGCTTTTGATGAGGCATAAAATGTAAATAATTTCTATTAGGAGGAAATTAATATAACGACTTTGGTATTTGCAATCAGAGTGAGCTTGTATTATATAAGCTAGATTTGCAACTGAGGTAGTGCAATACATTTTACCTGGATTTGAAGTAAGGATTATATCAATTTTCACCATCAGTAATAAAGCACAAACCCGATACCATTAACATGACTGATAATAAAGAGATGTGATTAGTCTCAGCTTGGATAGCCAATTAAGAAAAAAAGGAGAGGAAATGTTGTTTAGCTGTATATGAACAAAGAGGTTCTATTAACCTGGGTTTGCAGTGAAAAAAAGTGTCAATATTGCTAACACAGGTTTGCAATTAAGTTGGTGTCAATGTAGCTGGGAAAAGGAGTTCATAATTAGGACAACACAGTTAGTATTGACCTGAATTTTCAATAAAAATCATGTCTGCATTTTAATTTGGAACTGTAAAATTCATCCCTGTGCTCTGCAAATGACCGTATAATTATTAACTTGCAGTTACTTTACAATTAGAGAATTATTTACATAATATGTTATTTTTTATATAACCATGTGCCTGTTACAAATGGTGAGCTGCATGTAGGGTTCCTAGAAGTGTCCAACATTTAAAATTATATTTCTACATTTCTTTGAAGAAGCATTGCTAAGGATTTAAATACTTTACTCACAGAAAAAAATAACTGCTTCAGCAAGACTATGCTCCTGCTCCAAACATGGGTTTCTTTATTAGAATTACTAGTTTTAGTTAATTACTAGTTAAATCTCTACTAATGACCTCAAAAATAATTATCATACCCATTTATTGTAAATATTCTCAATGCTTCTATGGAACATGATCGAGAGGGTACTTAAATGGACATAAATTTGTTGTTCAATCAACCTTATATACTTCAATGCAGAAAAGCAACAACGAGAAGAGTATTTATTTTAAAGTCACTTTAGAACCTGAGCATGCACTTTTCTGCACTTACTTGCCTATGTAAATCCAAGTCCAGTATGTCAAAACAACACTCAGGGATAGGCAAGGAAGGATTTTTCTTAGGAAAAAAACCCAACTTGCTTTTATGTGCTCTTTCCATGTTTTCTCACAATAGAAAAGAAGAACATGAGCCCAGCAGCATTCTCTGTCTCAATCTGTTTTAAAAGTAACCTCACCTCCTTCTTCTTCTTTTCCTGCTGCTTCTTCTTCTTCTTCTTCTTCTGCACCATGAATCAAAGGTATCTCAACTTCTGTTGTGCCTTCTTGGTTCAACAATGGCTCTGAAAAAATTTGATAAAAAGAAGATGAACAGTGAGGCTTTTCAGAATGGACATAAAAGGATTAACATGCACTAGAGAGATTACCATTAAAAACACTGGCAGAGGAAAAAGATCCTTTTCCCCAAAGGTACAGATACAAAAGCTGTCTGAGGGAAATCCAAGGGGCTGTAGTTGAGAGCAAGGCCTTGATCCTCTAAGATGCTGAGCTTTCTGGGCTTTAGCACAAAACCCCACGTGCCTGGCTCCAAGCACAGGCCTTCACTGGAGCTCACCACAAGTGGAGAGACACGCGTACTCAAGTGTTTTGCTGGACTGGGGACAGAGCATTCACTGCTCTGAATGTACAAGCCTGAAATGCTTGTCATCAGGAATAAGAAATGCAATGTTCGCTTCTTTCTCTAACAGTTGCAGCCATTAAGAAGTCAACTTTTATGATGGAGAATTCATAGATACCCCCCTGCTCGGGGTTGAATTTAGAGTTACCGTAAGATCAGGCTCCACAGATTGAGCTTACTAGGTATGGAGAGAGAAAGGGAACTCAAACACTACTGATAATATCTGAGCAATAACTAGTGGTTTTGCCTGTTAATCTTGCTCTTCGGAGTCAGGGCATGTGCAATACCTTCTATTTCCATGCAAGAGCTTTGGGAATCTGCCCCAGTTTTCATCTCCTCCTCCTCTGCAGAAACATGCTGTTGTCCTGTTAACACAACAAATTGAAAATTACATTAGCACGATGGCTGCGTGCAGGCAGCAGCAAGTTCGTCAAAACAGGACACGAATCTAACATATCATGGTCCTTTTCAACCAAGTGCCGCTTTTTAAAGTGATTAAATGAAGGATGTTGGACTTCAGATACGAAAACATCACTTAAAAACTCTAAGCGTTAAGTATGTTAAATGTCTGGTCAAAACTGACCCTGAATCAACTTTCTTTTTCTTCTTCTGTAGCTCAGCCTTGATACACTGATTCTCATAGGAGCTGTTGCCAAGTGCTTGCCACTTGACAGTCGACTTAACAGAAGGAACAGAATCACCCCACAGGCTTTTAGAACAACAACAAAATGGACAATAATACTACCCAGGATCAATACGGTTAAACCCACATATTTGAAGATGTGTGTTTTCCAGCAACACCAGAGATTACCACACCACCACTGGTTGGCACACAACCTCTCCTAGCCAACAGCGTTTCCTTAAGGCAGAAGAGGTCAGGCTGAGAAACACTGGATGCTGAAACTGGAAGAACTAAGGTTCCCAACTGGTTCATTATCTCTGTCCTAAAGAATTTTGATACAAAACTTTACCTTCGGCTTGATCTTCCTTACATCCCACAGGATGCACTGGGTCATTCTCCTGTGTGCCTTTGGAGTCTTTCAGGGAGTCTGAGGAAACAGCAAACAAACAAACAAATCCTGCAGCGGTTTTCATGCTGGAAAAGTCTGTTATTTACTTCAGACACAGGTAGCCCTTAGGTGCTAGTTTCATATCTGGCATTCTTAGACGCTGACAGATTTCCTATCTGTTTAACTACAGACTTATATACTATGAAAGTATACTCACGGGTTTCAATTATTCAAATTGATTTCAAAATCCGTACACTTACTGAGCAGTTTTTGCCTGCAGTACAAACCTTAAACAAGGAGCTGGCAAGAAAGGACACATAAGAATAATCAGCAGTGCTACCGAGAATTTTATTTCTAATGAACAGAGTGGCACAAAGCTATGAGAAACAGCACAGACCACCTACTTGATAAATAAAGCGATTTCTTATTTATTTAGAACAATGCCAGCACTTTTAATGGTTGGACTTCCACAAGCTTGACAAACATTAAGTCCTATAAATCCCAGTGCAAATCCTAGCCTCATTTTACTTGATGGCAGAACTCCCAAGGTCATTATTGTGGCCAAGTTGCTTTTCCTTTTTGAGGGAGACCAGCAAAATGCTCAAAGCCGTACCCTGAACCAGTGGCACAGTGAGGTTTAAATTAGATGATGTAGGTGCAGTTGCTATGCTATCTGCAGCCTTCACAAACACGGGGCATTATTTCATTGTGCCAAATGACATTTTCTGACAGCTGCCACTCCTCAGTTTTTGTGTGGGGATGGAGAAATGCATCATTCCACTGCAGTCAGGAAATCACAGCAACACAGCCACCACTTTTAGCTTTGCTCATCTGCATAACATGCAGCTTTTACTGGATAAAGAGCTCTCTTTGAGCCTTGTTAAAAAACACCGCTGATCTAACTGGACATTTCTGCAAACTACAGAGGTAAGTACACTTGAGGTCATAACAACGGTAACAGATAATCACTATTTGTATTCCAGAGTGGAACACTTTCTAAAATGCTGCTAGATGAGAAACTTAAGTAACAGTGCCAAAAGATCTATGGTGCATGATAATAAATTACGCTATGACAGTCTTGTTACGGCTCTACTTCTGGAAGGTCTCTTTCTCCAATATAGCAGAGCAAATCTTACAACATACCAAAGGATGCCCCTGTAAAAATCTGTTCTTGAAACCTGCCCAGAACAATCTCTGATGGATAAGTGAGAAAGCTGGGTTGTTAACATCCGATCCAAATTTAATAATCTGTAGAAAAGGTATGTACTGAAAGTGTGTGGCTTTAATTAACTGCAAATAATCCCCCAAGGCAAATATTTAATTACCTGCACAGCTTCTTACTTCTTTCGTGGCATGACAATAAGTTTATAAATCCAAGTTTGAAAGCAGAATATCTCGCTGATGTACAATTTGTTAAAATTTGCCCTTGCTGCACTTTTTTCACCCTACTGTGGACTTAAAACGCTACTCAGTGCTATCAGCTGGACCACTGCGCTGGCCTTTCATACCAGGATGCCACATTGTGCTATGAGTTACAAGGGATTACCCTATCAGCCCGAATCAGAGCAAAAATAAATTAAAATTTCATCAAATTCCAAGTTTAATCAAAAAGAGAGTAGAAGGACCTCTTGGTATAAATGGGAATGGCACTAAAAATCTGTATGGAATTTTTGAGGTGAACTTTAAACTCATTGAGTTAAATTCTGGCTTTGCTGAGGGTTTTGACAAAGTTTTCAGGATATCAAACAAGCCAAGATTTGTACCATCTGTAGCCCCATACCCTAAGTTAATATTATCTTTTTCTGTATGATTTAGTTGCATGTTTGTAAAAGGAACTGTACTGAAAAGCTGGAATTGCAAGTCCTCTGCCTTAAGTAGCCCTTCAAATAGCCAAAAGGAATGATAAAGGGTGATATTACCTGCTACAGGTGGCAGAGATGCACGTGGCTCTGTCCTATCTGGCCTTTAGAGCTATCTTATCCTACACCTATTGCACAGTACTTCATACTCCCAGATCTGTGCCTTTAATCTCAGTTCACAGGTGCCACTTTTCCTCCTAGAATGAGGAATGACTCCAATTTCATGCAAAAATCAATCCCCAGCATCAGAGGAACAATTACGCGCTTTGGTCAATAATAACAAATGGAGTTTAAGGAGCCTCGTGTTTGGCTGATGTATGTGCCCCATTAGGCTTCTGTTTGTGGTGCAGCATCGTGGAGTTTATGGCAAACTATGGTTATCACATGGCATGGAGAGCTGTCGCTGCTCCCAGCCTTTGGCACAGCTGGCAGTCTGACCCCACAGCTGCGCTGGGTATCAGCATTAGGCACCACAGCCAGAGACCACCTCTGTGCTATCTGGCACATCTTCACACAGTCCCATAGCTGGCTCTGCACAATTTCTTCTTAGAGGATTGTAATTTTGTCTTAAAACTTTCATTGTTATCATAAACAGTTTTCTAATCGTTCCAGCGTTCAAAAACACAATTTAATTGCCCAGAATTCCAAAATTTCCTGGGCAATATGTAGCGATAATTTTGTACAAATTATTTTTTGTAAAGCATGTTTCTGAAAAGAGCAGAACATCGGCAGAAGTTGCTGCCTAGCTGTAAGAGTCCGCTGCTCTTATTTCAGCAGTAGAAATAAGTCTTTGCATAAGTACATAGATTCTGAGTTTCAAAATCCTTAAGGTCAGGACCATGTCAAAGATTTCTTCTTTTTAAATGCAAATATTAGATTAAATATTCAAGCCAAAAGGTCCAAAGACAGATTTACTTTTCGGATTAGCAAGAATAAAATAAAGCAAAGGAATAAATCCAGATTTATGCAGAAAATCTGAGCCAAGCAAGAGTAAAAGCATAAGACCAAATGCACCAGTCAATAAAAGCCGTTCCCAGATTGGATACAAGGCAGCAGTGCCACCTCCAATTCAGCTGGCAAGCAGCGATGGGAATCCCACAAATGCTGATGATATACTACTTTCTGTGTGCAAGTTTTCAGTAGGGTAGTGGTATTCCTTGGGCTCAGCTGGTCCTCTGTGCTTGCTTAGCTCTTCAGAGCCTTATGCAACTGGGCATAAGCCAGTATCATAGTCCTATAACGATTACATGGTCACAAAAGCTCTAGTCACCCTTAAAGCCTTCATTCATCTCTAATTGGCTAGGGAACTTTTATAAACAACATAAAGCAGTGTTAGTCTTCCCCTAACACAGCTACTTATCTGTTAAGTCGTACTGGAGAATCCAAACCAGGATATTATTTCACAGCACAGTGTACTTAGTTTTTTGATGAGATGTGCTGGACACTATTTACCTTGAGTAACCACAAATTGGGAATATAAGAGTTAACATTCCTCCGGGCAGGACTGAAAATAATCAGTGTTTTTGATACTACACTGGAGTACAGTTCCTAATGTCATCGTTGATCACACATGAATGAACCAAACATGACATTTAATGACATAAATGAACTAAAGATAAGCCACTTTGATCTACTGCACATCAAGCATCTAAGTGCTCACTGAACTCTGAGCATCCTTTAGTTCCTCCAAACCTGCTTCTACTTGGTGGCCGCAAAGGCAGTATTCATGTCTGGAGCACGTGGCCCTGCACCTCTCTGTTGTATTGAAACAACTGCTTTGTGGGGCTGCATGGTCGAATGCACCTGGGAATCCTCCCCAACCTTTAACAACCTGTGAAGAAAATAGCTGGACTTTGAGTAAGCTGATTGGAGTACTCCCCAAGTATATCCACTGTTCCGATATATCAACGGTATGTTGAATCCAGCTCCAAGAAAACTGTGTAGCTTGCAATAATCAACCCTACCCTTCCGGCTAATAATCAGACACTATTTTGTCTAAAAGCTGCATAAACCCCCATGCTTTTCCAGGCCATTCATACTTCTTTTTTTTTTTTTTTGACTGTATAAAGCAACGCTACTCAAACAAAATTTTGCAAATGCTAAGGAAGAGGAGAAATGGTAAAATCTGAATGTTAAGTGGTTTTAATGATCTTTAAAATTCACTTCCCCAGCTACTCTCTGTACGGTTTATTTACTGAGTCGTTTCTAATGTGCAACACACCTGGGTCCTGCACACAGCATAGATAAATCACCATGTTTTAGGGAGCTGTAAGAAGATTAAAGAGGGAAAAAGCTGGTCATTATGAAAGAAACAGGTTCAGTGCATTTTATTTTTTAAGCATGATACTGTGAAAAATGACTGGAATATTTCCAGAGTGAAAGAAATCAGGCAGGCGTCTAAAATTACAGGTAATGGTGTGCATGGAGGCTGCCACATGATTAGGGTATTCTTTTGCCTCATAAACCGAGGAAAATGTGTTAAAATGAAGTACTATAAAAAGGTGATTTATGAGAAGTTAGGGAGATATTCTTGAGCTTTGACTTTAAAATGTTATTTTTATATCCACCAAGATTTCATTTTAATCTGTCTTTATGACAGATTAGATTTATTGGAGCCCAAGTTTATAGGGCTTGGTAAAACAGACCTTTTTAGGTGCAACAACCTGTAAAGATATTTTTGCAATAGACCAGGCAGTTCATCTCCACAGGTGGGGTCCACCAAGTAATGCTCCCACCTGACTGTGCTTTGAGCTGAGAGGCTGGCATCTCCACCATCCTCACCTTATGTCCACAAGAAAAATTTCGGCACAGCTGGTACAATAACCATGGGCATCCTGCTGCTGCCATCAGGGGCAGGGCCTGTTGAATAGGGCACTGGGAAAGGAAAAAGCTGGGAAATATCTGGCTGCTTCAGTTAGACTCTTCCCAGGATAAGATGCCATGCTGCTGAAGATAAGGTTGAGGGGGACAAATGGAAGAAGGTGCTCTCATCAGACTGACAGGAGCACAGCTGGATGGCTCCAGGTCAGCTAATCTTTAAAAATAAGTAGGATCAAAATAAAGCAGCTAAGCAGATTAGTGTTGGCTGTTGAGGCTGCCTGTACTGGGGAAGCGTAGAGTAGAAACATCTCTGGAGTCGTTCATGGGCTGGACCCTGTCTGGATGCACAATGCTACAGAGAGGTCAGATTAAAAGGAAAAGCGAATAACCTGCATTATGTACAGTCAAAGCGAACATTACGCAAGGTGTTAGGAGAATAGGTGCTTGGTTAGATGGCGATGGTTATGTACGTGGTTTAGAAAAAACCCAAACCACACCATTTATCTTGTGTTAGCCAATTTGCTTTCATAAAAACCCTTCTAACCAAGGGAGAGAAAAATGTTATCACTGTAGCTGGCATGAAGAGCCACAGCTACGGCTGGGGGTGTTGAAACTCTTCCATTAAAAAGGTTCTTTTTCAGTTACCTATAATTGAAATTTTTCAGGCTGAAATTTTCCAGGTCTAATCATAGCCCAAGGGTGAAGTAAAAACATTTCATTGGTAGCTGCTGAGTGCTCAGCACTTCTGAAAACCAGGTCATTCATTTAGATGTCTTAATATATACTTAAGAGCTGATTTTAAACACCTCTTTTTGAACATATTGGCCTTTCAGTCTATCTTTTTCACCCACTTATCAATGTTTAATTTATGTTGATTTGCACAGTTCCCCTGCATTTGAAATGCTCTATCTTTCAGTTTATCTCTTCTCAATCATTTATGTCTTTAGGACATCAGATTTTTCCATGGTGAGAACTACAGCTGGCCAAACAGGAATTTTATATCCATTATGCTTTACAGGCAGGATACTTAAAGGCTTCTGGGTTGCACAAAGTGAGTTTTTAGGGCTAGACCCTAGCCAAGGCATATACCTAATTCTGCTTTTGACAACATCAGCCCCCCAGCTGACTGAATCTGACTCCATTTCAGAGAATGTAGAAAAATAGTCTTGCTTTAAATGGCACTCCCACCGGAGCACAGACTTTGGTGAACACCTGGAAATCATTAATCGCTACTTTATTTTTAAAATTAATTAGCATATGATGTAATTTAGTTGACCTTCAAATGAAAATTCAGTTCTTATTAAGTGCTAATGAATTAAAATCAGCGTATTGTGCACAGAAACTTTGCCATGATTGCATAATGGGGAGTTCATTCATCACCTGTACTAAATCCAGCCCTTTTTTTTCATTTTTCTTCCAGAAAGCCCTATCAATAAATCAGGTTAAATAGTAATTGGTAGGGCAGGTAACCGAGATGAAGATGCAGAACACTCTCTCTCACACACATTCATGCGTACGCACACATTTAAAAAAAAAAAAAAAAAAAAACAGGTTCAAACCAATTCACAGCTATATACAATACGGTCCATTTAAAATTAGTTTGTAGTCCCAGCACAATCTTGTATGGACAGGCACACTAGACTGAGTGCAGCCTGTCTGATACGTGTTTTATCTGCTGCATAAACATTAATGACTTTAATCACTTTGTTCTGCCCTTACACTTCATAAAGAGAAGCATCTCTAACTTGAAATACGCTGTATATAAAGGATCTACTTCCATATGCACAGTAATGAAGCGCTACGAAGGTGCTGCCTAGAGATGTCAGCTCTCCCCCAAGAGCTAATAGTTATGCATGCAAGTTTTCAAGGGTAAAATCGCAACATTTCTTTGCGGCATTTCCAGACAGTGGAAATAGAAACTTAGCTCAGACTGAAATAAGACAATACCTCCACAGCATAACATCAAGCATCTTGATATGCTTGGAATAGGACTCTTCTGGTTGTTTTTTTTTTTGTTTGTTTGTTTGTTTGTTTTTTTTCCTGAGGACAGACAGAGCAGTCAAAAAATTCAGTCTGTTCAATGGTGACATGTAAACTGGGCCCATGGACCTTTTTGTCTGGACAGTGTCTCTTCTACTGTGAATAACAGAAAAGATATACTTTCACATTACTATGAGATTTGTAATCTCACTTTAGGTTTTAATTTTAATTGGAGCCCCTCAAAACATAGTTCTTTAAACGTTCCATGCACTTATCATGAAACATCCAATTTCATGTTACCATCCTTCCCCTTTTCCTTAAAAAATACTGATAAAGATGACTCAGGTAAGATAAAAATACTAGAACTTCACGGTAGCAGAGATGCATGTGCTCTATTTTGAATATCACCACATTTTTTGAGTGATAAATAACTATTTCAATGTGTTTGCTACATTCTAATCCCAAAAATCACTAGTTGAATCTACTTGGAGTCAAAATACTTGTTTTGGTACACTCACCCAAACTGACATTTGAAAGACTGCTATACTTCCATAGAAGGCTTGGAAACCTCCTATTCCGAGTGATTTAAACTATGCATTTTGGAAATATGTAGCCTAGACTTATTTGCCACAAATCTCCTTTCACAGTAATTAAGTGGAAGGACTAGAAAAACATCATTTCTTTAAATGCTTTGCATCCAGTTCATTTAGTTGAAGATAAACTACAGAAATGAGTATGTTCCAGAACCTGGCAGGTTTTAGCTGTGTTAACTCAGTGGGCAAACAAATTGAAGGCTGAAATTTATTTCAGGAGCAGCAGGTGTTTTCAGAAATGCCAGGATTTTGTAAAAGTGCCATTTCCCAAGCGGTAGCTAGTTTTTTGTACCACTAGTATTCATTTTAAAACAACTCAAAATCTAGAATCTGAAAAGTTGAAAATCTGCTAATGGAAATAAGGATTAAAACCACAGCCTGGTGGGCGCGGCGGCCTCATCATTCATAATTCTTGGTCATATTTAAAAAGCTAGCAGTCAAACCCTCAAACATGTTCTTTTCCCCACCATTCCTTTTTTCTACTTGTACGAGTTTACAATCAAAATATATGGAGGAGATTCGGTCTCATTCCTTTTTGCCTACCAGATGCTTTCCATCTTACTTTTGAGGAAAGATAGTACATCAAAGAGAAACTGCCCTTTGGATTTCTCAGGGCACCATCTCTTCTGTTAACCTCTCAAGATAAGAGGGGAAAACACTATACTCTTAGCACATTGTAGGAAAAGCAAGACCTACAGTACCAAGATGGCTGCTTTTCCTGAGAAGAGAGAACTAATACAATGCATCAAAAACTCGAGTGGTTACACATTGAGATAGCCACTGAAAAGCATATCAGAAGACGCTGGTTATATAGTCAGGAACAAGCACTCAAAGAAACACTAAAATGTTGGAATCTTCTGTAAGTCCACAGACAGCCCCCCCAAAAAATTCAAACCCAAAGCCTCACCGTGACCCTCACATTACAAAACATAAAAAACGCATCTGATGGGGGATCTTATAGACACAGGATACATAAACAGCTCAAATGTCAGCAAAAAAAGAGAAAAGAATGGCAGGCAATCATCAACTATACTGAGGCTGAATCCATGACTATTTCTGCCTTCCACTAGCCTTGCCATGACTTTCATCTGTGAAGATATCAAAAGCAAAAGCCAGTGCTCCAGCAAGGGTTTGTGTTTTTTTGGCTTTTTTTCCCCCCTGCAGGATCAATCAATCAATCAATCAATCAGTTAAGAGAGCACTTAAATCAACCTGCAGAAGGCTTTGAACTCATAATCAGGTAAGTATGTGGGCTCTCTAGCATGTATCTTTGGAACAAAAGGGCAAGATCTCACACCCTGTCACACTTATCTAGAAAAATGAGAAGAGAGTCAAGCAGTGATGCTGAATTAAACATTAAATCTTCTAAAATAAATAAGTTAATGGACGTTAATAATTATGTTATCTCAGTAAAATGCATTAAAATTTTCTATTAGTCTTTCTTGAAGGCTGTACTGATGGACTGTATTTATTATAGATAGCATAACTCCTGTTTTGAATTACCAGTAGCTAACATTTTATAAATCACTCAGGCTTTTTCCTGATGTAGCCCCACAAGAATGCCAAAAACTGTAGACTGGCAAAAGCAATTAATAGTGTGATATTATAAGAGTATCAAAACCAGTATGTCTATGCACTGTTCCTATCTGTAAACCAACAGCTCCACAGGAAGAATCTCAGCTTGAAACATTTAAATTAGATCATCTCTCTTTCTTGTTTCCTAAACTCCCTGTCATTTGGCCCCGTGACACTTTTAAATATTTATCACAAACTAAATGATCTGAGTGCCCAGCACAGTCTGCACAAGATAAACATTACTTTCTCCCTCTCAATTATGACTTCATCTCCTCCCGTCTCCTCTTGATGTGTTTATAGCTATTGTGTTTTTCTTTTTCCATCACGAGAGCGCTGAATAGGGAGCTAATATTGCCAAGATAGATGTGCATGCTTAACTTTACCCCTGTGAGTTGCCCCAGCGAGAGCCCAAGCTTTGGGCTTATTTCTGATATGTCATATATGATATTTTAGTATTACCTCTATAACAAGGGGACTTAGGAATTCACAGCATCTCTCCAACCAGCACAACAGCTGGTGTCAAGTACTTCATTACAAAGACTTTTGTAAATGAAAAATCCAAGGATTTACCTATTTCTGAATTGTTTAACTGTGATTTTGGCAATTTCCAGACAAAGGAAAATAAGGCTTTATGAAATGTCCTCCTGGGACTGGATATTTTGAAACACAATTTACAACCTGTACCTTTATCTTCACTCAGCTCTGTTTCTTCTGATGATGATAGGCTGTCTACAGCTGAAGGTTTCGTCTCATCTGTAAGAACCAAGGAAAATAAAGAGAAGTTATTCATTAGATAGCAAACTGATGAACCACTTTACCGAAAAAAAGCCTTACGCCTTATTGAGGTAAGATACTAGACCTGAATTTGATTTAATTGGCTTACATCCATCCATTCACATTGCATTCACCAGTCATTGCTGCTGAAATTGATTGCATTGCATTCACCAGTCTGATTGCCCTCCTGAAGCCAGGGGTAAACTTACATTACGATACGACCAGATCAAGTCTATATTCCAATTTCTCATAAGACAGAGAGAGGAACAGCTATCAGCTTCATGGGTAGGCTCGTGTTTCTCTTTGCTTTGATATTCCTTTTTTCAATTAATCCATCTATTTTGAGAAAAAACAATTATGCCATTCTTCACTTTAATCATGTCCATGCATCACATTGGAATCAGAACGATTCCATCCAAATGCTTTCCTGAAAATAGAAGCTTTCATGAATCGGGCCTGAAATTTAGCAAGTTCCTGAAAAACTGTGGCTTGGAGTTTCTTAATGGTAGAGCATGCAATAAAACTACCGCAGATAAAACTATTATCTGTATTTAATAGAACTTTTTAACTTCCACTGTTGCTTTTTCTTGGCAATTTTTATAGTTCTAAAACCTTTATAAGCCTTTGTTTTCATTTCTAGCCTTTCATTTCTTTCAAAAGACTTGCCTCTGATGATTCTGACAAAATTATTTTCCTAATATAGTCATCAAGTATTTTTAACTAGCTTGAAACAAGAGCTCTGAACCACCTGCCATTTTGTTTTTCCACGTGTTAACTGTGAAGTTCACTGATGATAGACTGGAGGCCAGACTTTAAAAAAACCCACACGGTAATAGCAAAAAAATTTCAGGCCAGTCTTTGTACACTATAAACTGGCTTTTTCATTACTGTATAATAAGAGTATATAAATCTTCATGTAATGGACTGGGTAAGAATACTGCGTCTATTTTTTCTCCTACATTTTCTTTCACATAATTTCTGATTTGTCACAGTTGGATGAAGGTTATGCCTTTTGGTTTAATAAATACAAATAAGAACTTTAACATCTGATGGGATTGCTCCTTACAGTGGTCATTCATAGCGGTTAGAAATGTTTTAGGCATACAACCACGTATCTTAGAAAATCAGGTAATTTCCTACTGCCAAGAAAAGGCTCAGAAGCAGCAGTCTCAAAGTTCCTGATGATGTTTTGTCTCCACAATGAGTAGAGTGGAAAGCAGCAGCAACTCATTAGCTGAATGTAACTGACTCGAGGTAATTGTACACCTCTCTGTTCTTGTCACTATGTGAACCAGTGGGGATAAACGTTAAGCCAAATCATTTTTTCCTGTAACACTGTGTGCCTGTGGCCGAGGAGGTGATTCATTGACTATGCGTAGGCACAACGCTATCTTTAGGCGTGTACATAAAACATGTTCCTAAAGTATGACATTTTCTCGATCTGGGACCTAAATTGTCTGGATCTTTTCTCTGACGCTCTTCATGAGAGTAACAAAACATGACTACAAACACGAGATAGCAAAAGAATGTACATCATGACTGATAAACCAGCTCTGACAGCTCGTAACGCAACAAGCCATAATGATGGGTTTGGGAGAAACACAATGCATTTAAGACACCTCCAGTAGCAAAGTAATAATTCAGAGAAGTAGATATTCCTTAATTCTCCTGGGAAAAATGAAATGTCTCTCATTCAATCGAACTGTTTTGCAAATCTAAATACCAGGGAAATACACACCCCATCAGAGTGAATATAGCTGACAAGCACAATGAGCTGTACTTGGCATCTGTAGACACTAGTATAACTGGGCACCTCCGTAGCTGGAGCTAGGAGCTCCTAGCAGTACTAGCTCTTAGGGGAGCTAGCAGTGAAGCAGTATCTGGTACGGTTAAAAGCTCAGTATTGCTTGGGCAAAGATATCCCCCTGCCTAGTCAGAGATTCAAAACAGAGTCTAGATTCACATAGAGTAACTCATGCCTCCCTTCTCCCTGGTCACCTTTGCCTGTTTAAAATAAGCATAAAGGTGAAAAATCCAGGAAAGAAAACCTGGTTGTCCTCCAGCACTTAAAAAATATCACTGCATAGTTATCTTGGGTAGGATAAAGCACCTAGATCCGAAGCTTGCTTAGGTCTAATCTTTTTTATTCTGTAATACTGTGTGCCTACGGCTTCACCTCCCACTGCTTGCCCCAGGCAAGGACATAAAGAAGAGGTGATAAAGAGGACGTGGAACACAGAAGGACTTCAAGTACTTGGGAACAGCATCAGCTGTTAACATCTAGTTGCCAAAAACTGACCTGTGGAGCACAGAGAGAAATGCTGCACTTCCACATCACAGTGCCCAATGCATAGGACAAAAAGAAGGACCCTCATCAAATGAATTCCTCACCTGCAAACATCCACAATGCAGAAAGCAAACCAGATAACTCAAGAATCTAGGTCTTTTAAATATTTTTGCTGCATTTACTGGCTGGCCTTCTTCAGCTCAATCTTCCACATACTGAAAGCAATCTTACACTCTAACTAAAACAAAAAAAATCTGAAGAAAACTGTTTCATGCTCTCTGAATTAAGTATGTGTAGGCAGCATCCTGCACTACAATGAGAAAAAAATCTCCAACCAGACAAAAAAAGCGCATTGTGCTACATGTAATACTACACTAAAAGAAATCCTTAAGAAATAAGGGGATTTACAGACATTTTGATTGTCACTTCAGCTCCTTTGATAACGGATTAATTGCAGTTGTCTTTTGTGTTGAAGAGAGTTGGGTAGGATGAAAAATACAACCATAAACAGAAAAAAATAATAGAAAATCTGTTGTGAACAGAGTGACGTATTTTAAAATATTGAACTGACTATAATTTATAAGCATGCCATCTGCAAAACCCATTGCTTGTGAACTCTGACATTCATGTGCAGTATATGCAATATCTTTCTGTGAGGATTTAAATCTTCATAACCCCGAGACTTGTGTAGACAATTTATTAAAACTTGAAAATAGCCTTTAAAATCTTCAGAAGTACAGTTTTCATCAAAGGAAGTCTGTTTCCTTCTTCTCAAAATTTCCTTTTCCCCCCTTTCTATTCTGTGCAGAGGGCTACTCTGTTGTAGGCAAAGGGAATTTTTTTTTTTTTTTCTAGTTAGAAGATTAGCTAGAGGTAGTCCACCTTAAAGGGATAATGTAGAGCTGGTAAACTAAAGAGGGAAGTCTGCATTCTTCCACTACAATACATTCATTCATAATGAATGGGGTTGCAGTCTTTAATGGGAGAATGGCTCAAGAGCTAATCTGGTGAAAATGTACAAACACCCTCTGTCAATGGCATTGACTAAGGTTACTTTTCACCGAGGTGGACAAAACCTCACAAAGTCCTTTAAGAAACTCGGCACAAACCTGTTTCTTGGCTCTGGGCCTCGGTTTCTTCAGCGTTTTGCTTCTCCTCTGTGCTGTTACCACCTATCAAGGAAAACACATAAAAATTCTTTACGATAGATCTTTTTTTTTATTGGTAACAACAAGAGCAATATTAATTGGAACCAATTCAGTGCAAACTGCTAATTTACAGCAAGGTGCTGTGATGAAAGGGGAGAGAAATAAAGGTAAATGAAAAAACCTGCAAACACAACCAGTTACATTTAAAACAGTCACATTTTCACATCTCAAGTTGAGGAAGGGAGGTTAAAGATTTTATCTCAATAGGCACACTGGAAATAACTGTGTACCAAATAAAGGCACGTTTCCCTAAACACTGTCTGCAATAGATGAAATCGTTGCTTGATCTTAGTCCATGTATTTTATAAATATTTTTTTTCTAGGTTTATTTTCCTCCAGTAACATTCCCACAAGATCCTTGAGGTGGCTGTGTTTCTGACTTGCAGAACCTACTTTAACGCCTATGAAAGGTAAGAACAGGAGAGGAAGAGTCACCCAAGTTTCATTTTAAAGCGAAAGGCACACCAACACTTAGCATAAAGTATAAAAAAACCCCATCACGAATGATTGCAAAGAAAAGAGCAAAATAAACCAAAGTAATATTGCTAGGACTGAATGTATTTTTCCCCCTTTTACATTCACGTTCACTCCAAATTTTCTCCACTACTTTGCATTCACATTCATTATCCATTTTCTTCCCTCCAGCTCCCTTTTGGAAGGCAGGTAGCAACAGCGAATTGCCACCGAGAAAAGTAATACCCTGGGGAATGTCTGTGGACATAAGATCAAGCTCTCTTAACCTGTACTTGGCCCAATTAGAAATATATCGGGAAGTCTGTCTTTTCAACAATAGAGAAGGCTCTTTTAGCTTCGTAATAATATTAGAGGCTGCAGTGCAGCATGCTGGATCAGATGTGATACACTCCCTCTTTTCCAGCATGGCGATATAGACGGTGAGAACAGCTGAGTACCAGCCTTAATGAGGCATTTGAAAAACTGCCTGCTTGAACATATACACTGAGAGAAAGGAAATTCATTCCCAGGCCTGTAAATGGCTTGATAACGATACACATATTTTTTTGCTGTGATCTTTTCTGGCTCCTGGGTTTTTCTGATTACAGCTTCTCTAAAGCAACATGGTTAAAGTTCCTTGTGCCACCACCTTACTTTTACTTAACACAAGGAGTCTGTTGAAGAGAACAGCAGTAGCCCAAAATGCAATTAGGTGGATGGAAGAAAAACAGAGAAAGTGCTGGTTTTCAGCAGCAAACGTACATCTGGTGGTATGCTGCATTCAGCTAATACTTAGAAGGCTGAGTTTTGACGTTCTCCCACTTTCCAGCAGGCAATACATCCTGGCATCCAGCAGATGGGACTAGCGGAGAAGTATTTCCAGGCTGACCCTGCACAGAGCTGCTCTCAGGAGGAGATGGAGCAGGGGTTTGACACCTCACCTGAGAGGGGAGAGGTGGGCAAGGAACGGCTCCTGGCCATCAGCAGGGACTCGGGCCTCCTGCCTGCTTGGAAACTCTTTGTACGGATTTTAACCAGCCTTAATGGATGACTAGCTATAGTGATTTCTTAGCACATTAGTGAGCTCTAACCTGTAAAAAATTGCATTACATGGATGACCAAAATGGCTTGGTAAAACCAGCTGGGTTTTTCCTTCCTCCGCTTGAAATCAAAAAGTATTATTTTCAAAATCAGTGTTCTGCCTGTCCACACACAATAGGAGGACCACATGCAAACCAGAAAGTTAGCTGTACTAGAAGAGAAACTTTTATCTCTCCCTCCCCTTTTCTTTTAAAACATGGGCTTGCGACTTCACAAGCTTTGCAGCAAGCAATTAATAAATAAGGAAAAAAATCCCTTTGCATCACCAGGATGTGTTTCAAAGGATAAAGTCACCTAGCTCAGGAGCTGCAGAAAGGAACAGTATGTTCAGACAATCCTATAACAAAACCGTGCAGTGACACTTGAAAAATCTTTACCATTAGGTCAGATCCAAAGAGAATATTGCATCACTGCGAAACAAGTGGTGCCAAAGCATAAAGAATTTCATTATTACCAAGTGCAACATGTTTTGCTTTGTGTAGAAAGACTTTACATTCAGAAAAAGGAGGTCAGGCATAAATGGTATTTACTGATACATCACCAAAAATAATTTCAGCAATTACCTTACGGCATCCACAACATAAAATTACTTTTCCAGATGATATTGTTTCTACATCCATTATAACATGTATGATTATAACCATGAGTTATTTGGCTAAAACCAGCTATTTCAAGGATTCATTCATGTTTATCACCAAGGGACTACATGTCTTGTTAAAGTCCCTTGATCAGAGCAAACAAACTACAAAAGAAAGTTTAAATGATCATCTGGTTCATCAGATTATCAGATGAAACACGTATTCATCAGTACGCTTTCTCAACCTTGAGTCTATTATTTCACTGGAGATTCACTGTTTAAAACGGGTATAATAGAATGATAATTACAGCACTATATATTGGATTCTCAACATGTTTTCCATCTAACACTTAATTTTGTTCCTCTAGAAAGAAAAATGTAAAAGACTTTAAGCAAAAGCTTCACCTCTTGTACTCTGACCCAGTCCAACAGACTGACTGGATCGTGGCACGAAAATTAATCTCGATCAGCATACTGAAAGTATGTGTTGTGCCTGCCAAGTGACTTTGATAGAGAAAAGAAAACACTAAAAAATTAAGAGTGGACAAGTGATCCTCAAGTAAATGACTTGCAGAAGGAAGGGTTAAGCTCTGCTTGGCCTGGAGAATCCTTTCTCTCAGGAGAAAGGGAAGAAGCAGAGTATAAATACAGCGATAAGAAAGAAAACTATGGGGTGGAGAAGCGACTAATCCCAAAGTGTCTGACAAACAGTTCTTTCAGTTTTTTTTAAAAACCCTTCTAATGAGCCTTTTGCCAAGTGTCTTCTAGTGATGAAGAGTATTTCTGTAATTACTGCTCTCCATTGGAGCTGGGCGCAGAGCAAATGGAAAGAATTTAAGCAGCACATGCTCAAAGCAAAAAGCTGAAAATGTATTTTACAAGAGTAGCAAGCTAGTTTTGCACCATATTTTTAAGTCATCCCTGGCTCTCCTTTTCTCTAGGCAGAAAATCCAGACCCCGTGCATTTCCCCTGAGTCCTTCCCATGACATTACTAATAATAAAAATGTCTTTTCCACTGGATGGCTTCTACAGTATCTGCCATCCTTCTCTTTCAACTATTGCAGCAACTGGCGATTGCATTTCCTTTAGGTGAAAGCTGTCCTCACAGTATCTGCTTTTCTATTATACTAGTAATTGAACAACAATCTGTCACTCACTCCAAAGGAGATAGAAAAAGTGGTGAACGACATGTCGTGTCATTTTAGGCCAGTAAATGTAAATTATTTTGAGCCACATCACATGACAAATGGGAACATCTGTTTCTTTTCCCTGGCATGGCAGTCAGTTGAAAAAACAGGAGTTTGAGAATTGCAGTAGCACCGTACAAACAAAATAAGCACATCAGACACTAAAATACCTACTTCTGGCCATATATTTTACTTTCTCTTGCCAAGTTGACTACTGCCTGATAGGTGCTTGCTCTCTTCTCTTGGCCTTTTTCTTTGAGATCAGCAAGAAAATTCCCCCCCAGATGATACATACCCTCATTTATATCTGGTAGAAAACAGGCTAAACAGTGATCAATCAGCACACTCAGCAAGCTGGCAGAGCAAGCGACACTTCTAACTAAACTAGAAAACCGGATACTCTGTGAGTGCCTGCCCACTTTACGTTAAGGAGAGGTATTTAGCATGTACAGTAATATGCCAGCTGCAGCAGCAGCCCCAAAATGAAGCACATGATATGATAAATAATAAGCCAGCAGTCAGATGGGAGAGAGCTGGGACAAGATCCCTCCGAAAAGTCCAGAGGACAAACTCTCAGCAGCAGCACCAGAGCAGGTTTTAGTATTCTTCCCATTTTCCCTGTGAGACCCTGGAAGCACATGGCTTTTTACATCCTTCACTATTCTTGCAACAAACATGGCAAGTCAAAAATATTAATAGCCCGCTGGCCTCTTGGCTCTTCCCATTTCAGAGCTGAATAAATGCCAGGTCCACTCATACACCTACTCCTCTTCAGCAGTACCTTACTTCACAAGCAGTCAGCGATGCAGTTAGAGCTGAGGCTAAAGTCAGTGTCTTAAAAACCGGTGCAAAAAGACACCTCAAAAATCAGTGCAAAAAAAAAGCCATTTTCCAGAAGAAAACAGAATTACAGATAACGTATTTTTAGTTAAAGGAAGAAATTCTGCATAACCAGTACAAACCAATCTACTTCTACCCCTCCAACACAGATTTTATTAATATAAAATTGTTTTCACTACTGAGAAAGCTGTACATATATCATCTGTTTGTCAACAGAGTGAGGTTTTTTCAAACAACCTCCTCCTTCCTGGAGTAGAAATTAAAGAGATGGAGAGACAGTGCCTCCAGCTCACATCTCGTTTGCCACTCTTGCATGTCTGTGTACACACCATATCCCTTGAGTGCCAGGTTTGACCCTGTTACATCCCTGCAAGGCTCTTGCGATGCAAGTCTGGGTGCATCCTCTGGTTCTCTGGGTGGCCAGCGACTGTGCATTTCTCCCATGGTCTGGCTTGAGAATGTCTCTTCAAGCTGGGCCACGCTTCAATGACAAATGCAAATACAAACCAAGATCTGGCAGATAAAGGATTCCAGTTCTGAATTATCTTTTTTACAGCACAAAAATATTGCCACGGTAATCACGCTAATGATATGAAGGTCCTTCTAGGATAACAGGGAAACTAATTAATGAGAAAATTAAAAATACGGGCCTTGATCTTACAGCTGTTACATTCTGCACACATGAGTAGATATGCTGACTTCAGTGAAACTCATAAATGTGAGAAGAAAGCACACATATATCCATATATACACTCAAGATCATAGAGCCTGCAATCATTTTCAGACTATTCCAGATTCAAAATTA